GTGACAAACATATATAGTTATATTATATATATATATATATATATATATATATATATATATATATATATATATATATATATATATATATATATATATATATATATATAATCTCAGCTGTTTCTCTTTATCAAGAAACTGTTAAAAGAAGCACTTTGAAAAATTATTATTCACTGGTAGCAAATGTCCCTAAAGAATCAAGCTGATTTAACAATAATAATAACAATACTAATAATAATAATAATAATAATAATAATAAACAAGTGTTTATTAGTGTAGTATTTTTATTGTGAAGCAAAGCCTACAGATATAGAATTTTATAACTAAACATTTTAGTCTGAAGAAAATGAGGAAAAAGTTTAAATAAAGGTTTTTGTGTAAGAGCGTCTTTATTTTTTATATAATTTGGGATGTGGAAACACCCCAACAGACCGTTTTGTTGTTGTTGTTATTTGTTTCCAAGACAAAGAGAGAAGACTTACACTGAAAAGAGGTTGAGATTCCCACCATGCGGCACGACGATCCGACAGGCTTTAATAATTTCCAGTCCTTCTGAGGCGCACCAGAAGATCCGCCCGCGCCGGGGAAGCTGCACCGCCCAGCCAGCTCCTCCGGGCTGTGGAGGTCCACTTTCCAGCAGCTCAGAAAAACCACTCCAACTCCAACAAGAACGAGAGACGAATTCTCCAAAGGGGAAATAAAAGGAGCTGTAGGTGAATAATCGCCGAGGAGACTCTGTGGGAGAGATGATGGGAGGATGCTGGAGGCTGCAGCCGCGTCTGCTCTTTTTGTTGCTTTTCTAATCACGTCTTCGGACTTTTCTCCAAAAAATAATAAAAATCCTTTAAGTAGTTGATTCTCATGGAATAAAACAAGGAGGTTGTGTTTTATGAGTCACAACGAAATCACAGAAACACAGCCTCTCTCTCTCCAGGAGCAGGGAAGAGGAAGAGGAGTAGCTGCGCTCTGCCTGCAGTCGGCGGTGCGCAGCAGAGCCAGGTGGTGGTGGGCGGGGCTTAATTGGAGGAGGAGGAGGAGGAGGAGGAAGCATGGGCTGCAGTCAGCATCTGTATCCTAAAACAGGTTGGAGAAAAGCGAGGTCAGGGCAAGTCAAGGTGCTTTTATATGCAGCTCATACCTGAGGCTCCTGAAGCTCCAGGTCCCACAGGAGCAAACACGTCAGTGGTTCCCCAAGTGATGGACCGCGGTCTGGATGCGAAAGCAAGTTATGTTGGAGCACATTTGCCACGTTTATGTCAGTTCATTTTAGGAGGTGAAGCTTTTCTATAATTTACGGTCATTTATTTTAGACAGTGCAGCCTTTTTCAGTAATTCATTTTCATTGGTGTGTTTTTCCCCACGCAATGTGAAGGTTTATAAAATAGTGTTCACATTAATGAAAACTTTGAGATTGCATTGTTTTAGGATGGTGGGAATCTACTTTGGAAATAGATCTGCTTTAGCTAGCTGTTACTCGTTGGTTTGGTCACAATTAAACTTTATTTCTGTAAAATAAGGTCATTCAAAGTGCTATCTACAACAGATAAGGTATCATTTGTTCTACACCTTCGGATGTTATCAGTCCATTAAATGGCCATTATTAGTTGTTATCATCCCTATATGTAGTGGTCAAACTGTCCCACCTACCTCCTAGTAGGTTTAAAGGTACATTATTATTGTTAGTATTACTGATAATAGGCAACGTCACACGGAGGTAAACCAGGAAATGTTTTTGAGCTTATTATCATCGCTAACAACTTACCTTTAAACCCACTGGGAGGTACATGAGGGGCAGTCTGACCGCTACATATGGAGATGATAACAACTAATAATGGCTATTTAATGGCTGATAACATCCGAAGCGGGTGAGATAACTCTCCTTAAGATCTCAGCTATTATTTTAAGATATATTTTTTAAAATTGTGTGTGAATAATTTTAGTAATGAACTTATGAAATTAGAACAAACCAGCTGATTGTTCACAACAACGTACACACTTCATGATGCATTTGCACTTTAACACACACACACCTCCATGTGCCCCTCTGCTGAGAAAGACACAGACAGGCTGGTCTGCAGTAACCTAAAGGCAAACAGTTTCTTTGGACCGTCTGGAATCCATCTCACCCGCAGAGCTGGAGAAAGCAGAGCAGAAGCTCCGTTTACAGCTCGGTGACAACATCAGGCCCACGTGAACTGCACGGCTGAACAAGTCATGCACCGTCGTCTCAACATCTCATTAAACCTTTTATTGTATCCGTTTCAAGTCTTTTCCACTATCCGCCACATACACGTCGTCCACTTGGCTCAAAGGCAGAAACACTTCCTTATAAATATAAATTGAATAAAACACATATTTGGCTCTTAATTCCAAACCAAACAAAGTTGTCTGGCTTATGAAGTGTTTTCAAAACTTTTTTTTTTCGTGCTGTTTGCTGTATGGAACACATTCAGTGACTTTCTAGTGCAACATTGATGTGGGGCACTTTGTTCCCTCAATACAGTCTCTGCAATTCAGTCTCTGTGGGGAATGGATGATGCCATTGTGAGCAATTGTTTGCAGCTGTGTCATTCTTTTCTTTCTCATCTTATTCTCATCTTCATCTTTCCCTCGTCCTCTGGAGGGCTTTACTGGTCGGTTGCGTTGCTTTCTAGAAGACAGTCTGAGTAGATGTTTCAAAATCTTGAACTGAGCTCCATAGCAGCTGTTAAAATATGAAAGTGTGAGTAAATCAAAGAAGATAAAGGGTGAAAATGGAAGGTTTATTGATTGATAAGTGGATTGAAAAGTAAATGAGAGATGACGCTGGATTAATGTGGGACATGCGACTCCAAACTGGACAGTAGAATAGGTGCTAAAGCAATGTGTCCCCTCAAAGTGAGCAACCTAATGTGGCCGCAAAACACGGTTGTGAGGATGTTGTCCCTGCCTGTTTTCTGCCAGAAAGCAGGCCTCATGACAATCACAGCGAAACATCTTGGCAGCCAGAGGCACGAGGATAGACGCTGAGGAAACCTGTAAGGGACGAAAGAATAGAGCAATGACCCATGTGTGTGTGTGTCCTGTGATAATGGTGTGTGAGAGCAGGAAACCCACATTGCCTGTTTTTTGTTGCAGGGGTTCCTGGAAGTCAGCCTCCCAGTGTGATCGACAACTCACACACACCACACACACACACACACACAGGATACCTCGCCTCTGAAAGGGGAAAAACATGCTGCGACTGATATATGTGGACACAGACAAGCAGACTTCCTGCATTTTGCCACCTACTGGGCAGCCACCTGTAACACACACATACCCCCCCCCACACACACACACACACACACTGGACACAAATAAATTGAGAGTTGACAGTAAACAAGTGCCATTCTAATCCCTGTAATTATCTGTCATTTAATGAACATTGCTTGAGGCTGAGCAGCCCACCATCAAAATCATCAACATCTCTACTGACGAAAACAGGAGGTTAGGAGGAAGAGCAACAATTCAACCAAACCTCAGCTACTGTTGCATTTCTAACCCATGTAGAAAATTAGTAGAAAGAGATTGAAGATGAATTTTTTTTTTACCTAAAAGTTCTCACAAAGTTATGAATGTCAAAAAGATATCTGTTTATTTTTTTATTTTTATGGTAACCACATAAAATAACATCTTTTTAAGTAAAACATGAAAAATAACAAAGAAGAGAGATGGAAATATTAATATTGCAGTTGTTAGACACATTTGAACATCACTAAGTACTTTAGTAAATAAACTATACTGAGAAGAACCGATTCTTATCTTAAAGTGTTATGAGTGTGACGTCACGAGCGCCGCAGTATGGCTGCACTGACGGGAGCTTCGCTTCAACTCCATCTTTTTTTTTGTTCCTGTTCTTGTTTTAACTTTTTTACGCCTACAATGCACACCCACGCTACGAGTATGACCGCCACACACTTGTGGAGTTTTCTGTGTCACTGCCTTGCCATCATGCCATCCTGCCATAGTGGTTCAGTTCCTGACCCCCTCTCCAGCTTCAGGCTCAAGCTCCAGCCTGTCATGGCGACTGTCTGCATGATCCTCCATCTGCCTGCGTGGACCTAACTCTATGGACCCGTTTGGTTCTGCGGGGAAAACCTAGGATGTTCTCTGTCTGCTGGACCCGGTTCTGGGAGGCACCTGCTAACAAGACCTGCTAACACTGCTAACAAGTCCACACCGCTAACAGAACAGAACCATGCTGCTGAAAGAACCTCACTGCTAACTGAACCACACTGTACATGTATTTTTTTTTCACTTTGGAACCTTGTTTTCTGTGTTTTTGCTGCATGCTTTGGTATTTCTTGTTGTTGTTTCTTTTTGACGAGAAGCACTCATTTGCCAAATTGCCACAAAGGGATTGTTTCCAACAGACAGTGCACAATAACAAGCGACTGTAACTTCCCTACGCTGCCTGGCTGAGGCGTAATCCTTACCCGCCAGCTAAAGAGAGCCGCATTTTTCTCTATATTGTCACCTGTATGCACAAAAATGCGCTCTCATTCCACGAGTTATTTGGACTATTTTAAAAAGATGTATTTGACTCTTTATCAGTTTCGCTGGAACAGCTGTAAAGATAACTGTATTTTCAAACAACCTCAGCCAGCTGCTCCTCAGCAGAGCAACTGAAGTGAAATAAGAGCAGAGCTCTCCCGAGTTTCTACATAAAGACCCACAAAGTTCTGACCAATCACCAGCCTGTGTTTCCAATAATAAGAATACCATCATCTGGATGCAGTTATGAGTGGAAAAAAGTTCTCTGCTCATTGAATTATTTTGAAAATCCATTATCAACAGGAGACTGAGGTGCACCACTGAGTAAATACTTTATCAGACGCAAGGTAAAATTGTGTTTTGAAAATTCTCTTGAATGAGTCAGCTGAGAGACCTGGCACTGATGGAAACAGGAAAAAAAAAACAAAAAAAACTTTGTATAGGCTGCGTTAATTTTTGACAAGTCAGACATTTTAACCGACACAAAATTCCAATTATAATGGTCCACCATGCACATAGAGTTTGTTTTTCTATCATGCAATAAACAAATATTTAAATGAGACATGCATATATGGTATTCCACAGCTCACTATGTAAAAAAGTGAAAAATGCTCCAGTTAATCTCACCCTTTAATTGTGATCCCCAACTGCCCAGATGGAAGGAATTCTGTTGGGAAAGGCACAAGATTGAAATGTATAATGGGATAGCAGCTGCAGTGCTGCATCTTATACGAGTGCAGTGTCTGGAGATGGATCCTTTTCACCGAGGTTTTACTGAATTCAACCCACATTCTGGCTCACAGCAAAGAAAAAGTAAGTGGGCGACGACTGACAACCTCAAGAGAATTCAAAAAAGTTTAAAACTTCTGCAGAATGCTGTCCAAATGACACAATAACTTTAAAATGACATGATGCACAGTAGCATGTTGGATTTCAATACATACACGATGTATTTTATGAATGTATAAATATAGAAACATTAGCTCTGCGTTGTCTTATGACAAAGCCAATATTGGCGGATATCTTTATCACAGCTCTTTTGCTGGAGTTTGGAGGATTCCCCATAATCCTTTAGCTGTTATACCTGTGTGTTTTAACAGATTTTCATCCTGCTGCTTTTCTGCCAGCACACCTCCCCTCTCATTACATTCATCTCTTCTGCTTGACGCATCATGCTCCCTTTGGCTGCCAAAAAAAGTTAACAGACAGCATGAAGGGATGCAAAAAAAAAGTTTGTCTGCTTTTCTTGTCAGTTGGTCTGACTAAAGTTTTATTTTATTTAAGGGAGCACAATTTCCCAAACCTGAAACCTTTAATGGAAAAATGTTTGATGGGAGAGAGAGATTTCCAAAATCAAAGCATGCTTTAATTAGAAGAGCTCAGTCAATTTTACTTTTCCAGCGGATCTCTAGAGAATTTCCCTCTAGCACAGGGATGTTGAAATGGCAGAAATAATGAACATGAT